ATGACGATGACAGACGACGACGATAGACGACGACAACTGCATTACGACGATAGGAGACGACAACCACACTACGAGGAAAGGTGACGAACACACGACAATAGCATGACGATGACTGCATGCAACGACGATTACACGCAGCAACACACGGTAACACCACTAGCGGCGACGACCCACCACCACTCCCAATCAACGCCAACGATGGCCAGCGCCACACCCCACCCATGCCAACAATGGCCCACACCAACGCCAACAACGGCCCACCACCATGGCCCACCAGCACCCCCATGAACGGCGAGCACAGCTCATCACCAGCACCCACGACGGCCCACCACCCCACCAATGCTGACAATGGCCCACCACAACACCCACGAACGGCGACGACGACCCACCACGCTCAGTGACAACGGCCGAGCACCCCGTCCCACCAATGGTGAACACGGCCCCACCCACAACGACGACGACTCACCAACACCCTCCCGAACGGCTGCAACGGCCCACCAACTCCACGAGCAGATTCAATTGTGCAACGATGTCTCAGGTGATTGCGGCTCAAGTCATAATTCCGGTGTGGTTAACAAAGAAGCTGCCATCGTTTCTAGGCGTGTTGGTGACGCCAAGGATCGGGTTCAAATGGAGTTTGATGGCCGAACTGGGGATACCAACAGTGAGTTATCAGCCTAGGTACATATTAGTAGTTGTTTGATAGTTAGAACTCGCAATGCAATTTTCTATTTTCGTGATCCCCAGCATGTGCCAAAATAAGCATTGTTAGTAGATCAGGTAGCTGCTGTAGGCAGGAACTACTGAGTGCTACCTTCGAGTATGGGGGGAAACTGAGATGCTACCAAGATACTACTGGTATCTACTGCAGTACAAGGGAAGACTACTGGTGTCTACTACAATGCAAGGGAGAACTACCGAAGCAACATATGGGGGGACTTGTATACCAGGCTACTATAAATACTGTGGCTATTTAGAACTACATAATCAAGTTATTTTTCCCTGATGCGTGTCCTTCTGATGGTGCTTATGCGTTAGATCGCATGTCGACTCTCCGTTTATGTGTTTTCGTCATCTTGTGCTTCCTTTTGCGTGTTGGTATAATCCCCTGTACGTAGTAGAACGAAATCTATGACTTTTGTTAGCAGAAAACAATAGTGTGCTACTGACTGTCATGTGTGGGCGCATTCCCGTCTCCATTGAGCTTTGTAACGTTGAGGAGTAGAGTCCGAGTTCGTCGTTGTATGCTTTGATGACGCCGTGGATGGAGCAAGTGGTGTCAACAGCAAATAGCCTTATTAAGCAAGTGTTAGATCCGAAGATACTGCTATATTAAGAAGTTTCTTCACCTCGTGGTATTAACATATCTTCCACATATTTGCTGCGCATGTATGGACTTGCCTTTTGTAGAAATTTCCTCTCCAATATCTTCGACGTTTATCCACCCCAGGATATTCTTAATAATTCCGACGGAAAAAAATCGATAAAATGAGATAAAAGATTTTAAATATCTTCCAAGTAATTCCGGCAGTTTAAAGGGAGCATTATTATTAATATCTTCCGCATTTTTCCACATTATACCCAGTATATATATAAGCCAAGGCCCGCAGTGTGTACGACCCAACAAGTTTTTCCCTAAGGGATTCGATCGCACAATTAACCACGGTACTTGAATGGAACCCTGTCACGTGTATCTCCCGAGTTCAAGACTCCACTTGCGTCTTTTCGGACCACAACTCAATTCATTCTCCAGAAAACCAGATTCGTTGCTTAATGTCTGCCGATGATATTTCAAATTCAGTCACTTTCCTTCAGCCTTCCTTGGGACACTTCGTTTTCCCTTAAACTTGGTTCTTGACTTGATGTTGGGGGTCATTAATTCATTCAAGGCCGGTGGAGGAGAGGGAAGGGTCCCATTAGACCCTACACACTCCATTAAAATAACTTTCAACATCAAGGAAAGCATGCCATATATTTTTAACACAGAGTACCAGTGTGATACGCGCCGAGGACTTCTTCAATCTGTACACGGCTGGCGCTCAATTGTCACACACCACCAAGACTAACGCTGTCACATGACAAGTCCTATGTCAGGTCACACGTTCGTCACATACTTCACAGGCCATTTTTCGTTCCAACCCAACCGCGTGTTGTGCTCCATCTTCGTCGTTGAATCGTGGTAGCGTTATACTCATTACGAGATGGATCGACGCTCTGGAATGGAAGGTCGGCTTGGTGTGGGCGGTGGCATGGTCTCCGAGGAATCTCAGAGAAAGCAAGTGGCGCCTATTTTTTAATCACATTTGCACATTGACATTGTCTTCGCAGTCTGGATATTGGAGCGGATCTGGCCAGGAAACGGAGGCCTCGAGAGGCACTCCCTTACATTATGGAAGCGATCAAGGATCAGAATAATCTAGATGCTATGATTGAGCTAGCATTTCTACGTCACCGTCCTCATGCGATTCAAACCCTTGAATTAGCAGAGTCCCGAGGTAAGCCGAAAGAAAAATTGGTTCTCCATGTCGTTGTAAACCATAAGAACAGGACGAAACATCTTGAAAGAGCGTCTTGGGCCTAAATGCTTTGACGACGATGGGGAGCATGTTGGCCACTTTTGGTCGATATTAGATACCAGACCGTACATGCGTGTCATGCAAGCTTTAGTCCGCCTCTATTTTGAAGAAAAGAGATATGAGAAATCGACGTAAGTAAATTCTATCAAATTTGCTCGTCGACCTTAACATGGTATCGTCTTGATCCCAGTAATATCATGATAGAGATGCTGCGTTTCTGTCCTGGCGACAATATGGCACAAAGAACCTGGCTCGGATCGAATCTCATTCGCGTGGGCCGACTCGCGGATGCGTTATATTTCGCTCAGACTTGGTTAAGCCCGGGACCCGCGGACAGAGGCGAAGATCCTTTGAAAGGCGGCACGGATTTCAAGGCTCCTAGCCGTGATCCCATGACTGAAGCACGTGCAAAGCGCCTCGAATCTGACTGTGGTTCTCTCCTTTACACAGCCGCACTGGCATCTTTCAAGCTCTGGGGTGACAGCCTTCAAGCGCAGCAATATCTCAGAGCAGCTTCAAAGGCAAATCCGAATATTTTGATGAGAATCCTTGGACGCGTTACACGACCTGGTATGGTCCGTTTCAATTACTCTGTTATTCAAATATTGGACTCCGGAACGACCAGATGAACTCAATAATAGTCCGCGGTCCTTGAATGGTCCGGAGGATGCTCATGATTACTTATGGCTTTCGCAAGACCTTTGGATGGTTCCTGAAGTTTGGAACTGGGCAAATAGTGATCCAGGGGCCAAGGAATCTGTGTTGAAAACGTGTAGCAGAGAGGGTTGTGGCAAGAGGGAGACGAAGGCTACGGAATTCAAACTCTGCTCGGGATGCCGATTGGTTTGTTTTACAATTTAGTTCTTGTCTATTGCTGATTTCTCCAAGGCCTTCTATTGTAACTCCACCTGTCAGAAAGAGGATTGGAAAAAACACAAGCCAGGTGAAAGGAGACTTTATTTCTTTGTTTCATTTTTTTTGACAATTCTCATCAGCTTGCCGCGAACGGCAGAGCTTGAAAGCGGCATCGCGCGCCATGTTCTTGAACAAACCTATTCCGAAAGATGGTCCACTCGTGTTCAGCTCAGATTTCTCGCAATTGGGGATTACGATCGACCAAGGAAAAACCCGGCGCTCATGATATTATTTGTGTGTTCGTGCTGCGTAATTATAATTTTCATTACTCGCGTTGCTAGTTCTTTGTTGTAGTCCCATACATCCGAAACGCTCTAGATCCTATTATGACTCGCAAGCCCACCATATCTTGACTCGCTTCTTTTCGAGTCCTTCTGACCGGCATCGAAATAGACCCTTGCAGATACTTACTCATTGTCGACTCTCCCGCTAAAAAATTCGAGAAACAGAGAAAAGGAGCGTGACAGAAGCGTTTTCATTCAAGCGGTGAAGAGAGCCTTTTATTTCCAATATCTCCTCCTCCTTTGACCTCCTTGAAACAGGGCGAGGGACCTTGATGCTTATTTTGACTCGACGCAGACGTGGAAAGTTGGACGGTGTCAATATTTCGTCCAGTCTCCGCCACTCCTCTCCAGATGTGCGATACTTTACCTTGACGGGCAACTTCAATTCCTCGAGGATGTTCATTCCCACCAGCATTTTCAGTTCCCAGCTCATGTCGCTGAGGGTGGGGTTGACATTGAGGCATTTGAGGGTTGCTGAATGCTGAGGGTGTATGATTTGGCTCGTTCCGGTAGCTGGCCCTTTGGCCTTATTACAAAAGGCGTGTCAGCATAAGAGGGGCTATCTAGGTATCGGCACTGACCTTGACAGGTAAGGAAAGTAAGTTGTTTCGTCTCCTTTAAATTTTAATATCGTCTCTGACGAATTCCCTATCTCACCGTAGGGGATAAGGGACAGGTGAAGAAGGTCGCTGAAATTGAAAAAGGGAAGAGAATCGGGTCTTCTGGCCTGAAGGAGCGGGACTGCCATTCGAAAAGGAGAACTTTTTGACGCGAGGGGGGTTGTGTGGAACTTGGTTCGAAACCAAGTTCATGAGGTCATTTGTATCCTGCAGTCCACGTCTTCCAGATTCAATTGGGTGAGATTGGGACAGGACATGAAGACAGCTATCGGAATGTTGTGGCACGATTGAAGGACTAGTTTCGCCACACTGGGCAGTTGGATCAGGTGGGTCACTGCTTCCTAAAGTCGTACCGGCACATCCTTCCATGGCCTGAATCTAACTAGGGTTAAAGACCGAACTTTTGTGAGGCGTTTCAAGACGACGGGTGTGGTTTGGTCCCTGTAGTCCCCGGGCCAAGGCTTGTAGGAGAACTCTTTGATGCAATCGGCAATCTCTGGACTGTGATCTGACAAAGAAACTAGCTGTTCTATGCTAGGCGTGCCTCCAGGGCAACCTTCCAGGCTTGAGAAGGCGCCCACATGTATGGCGAAGAATAGGTGCTTCCGACTGCAAAAATTCATGAATCCGCAGGTTAAAGCGCATGTCTTCAGTGCGGTGGTGTCGTTTTGTAAGGCCAGATCATCCACGATCGCTTCGATTAAATCTGATGGCAGAGTCGAGCGCGTCATCAATATTGAGGCCTTTGAGGCCTGAGGCGTATGTCGTAGGCGAAGGCTTGAGATTCAAGCTTACAAGGCCTGAAACGCCCTCCCAATGCTTCAACTTCTGGAATGAAGTACCCACTTGAACGTGCTTCGGAAAATAGTTCTTCAGCTTGACTTGGAATTGATTGTAGCTCTAGGTGACCGCAGGCGAGTTAACGTTTGAGATGGGTCTAGAAAACAGAAGAAATCTATCATCTTATCGGCCCTCGAGTCGGGCCGGGCCGACTCCCGAGACACCTAAAGGTGTAATCCGAGTCGCCTGGGCCCTGTTTGTTCAACGCTTGAAGATGTTGGCGATTTCCCAGCGCCTCAGCGCCTCCTCTTCTCAAACCCTTAACGCAAATTGGATACCACGGCAATGTAGGGCTGTATCCAACTCACCATATGGCCGCACGCACGTCTGGAAACGTCGGCCACCAGTGTTACCGGACCCAATGGTGCCCAAGTTTCCACAGAAAGTCATTCGGTCTGACGGAACATCATTTACGCACTGGACGACGTCACCAAGTTCGTTAGTTCGTTTGACACGCGATACAACGAACAATCCCATCTATAACACGGGGAGAGATGGTGACAGGTCAGTGGAGGAGGAAACCAGGTTGAAGAGGTTCAACAGGAAGTTTGAGGAGTTTGGTGCGGACTTAGAGGATGTAACTTGGATGGATGACTTGAAACCGGATAGCATGCAGGCGCGGCCAGCGGAGGCCAAATCGGAGGAGACCAAAGCAAAAAATAGCCGACGTCCGGAGGTCTACATCGTAAGTACCCTGTCCTTTGTCGTAAAATACACTCTAACCATTCTACCAGACGGATGACATGGGGAAGCTTTGCAGATGCACGAAATGGCGCACTTCTGTCCTACATCACTTGTCATTATTGCCGTTGCATAATTCACCTGGCACATCAAAGGCAAAGCCAATCGGCCTTGCATATGTTAGCTGCTTATTCTCAGCGCCCGTCCTGCCACGTCGCCCTTCTGATAATTATCGTTAGCATCCGACCAACAACGAAAGTTATTGGCACGACATGAACAGATTCCGGGATTACTTGGCTTGATTTCAGCGTGAAGTCCTTTCTTTGGGCGCATAAACGGTCAGGGTGAGGAGTATTGTTCGGCCAGAAGACCGGCTTCCTTCCACTGTTTACGCATGTCCGCGGGCTCTTTAGGAGGCCCCCGAAAGTCCCCTTGGAGGCTGGTTCCCAAAATCGGGCATTTTTGGGTTTTCTGTCCATCCCATTTCCGGCGAAACCTGTCCAAATTGCACCTGGCCTTCGCCAACTTTTCGAAAATTTGTCCGGACTCTGGGAACAGGCCTTTTGCAGGTGTGTCCGCCGTCCGGTGTATGTATGTAATATCCGTAGATGATTTTACGAAACCACAGTGCTACAACCTTCCAAAAGTCCCCTTCATCATGGTTTGAACTTGCTTTGAACCCAGGACTTCTCAAGACGCACCATCGTATGATCTCACAATTATACCCCTAGCCTATGCATCAGTACCTGTCCATTTGCGATTTGGCTTCACATCGAGCTACGAAGACCTGTCCAGACTCTGGAACCGGCTATTTTGCTCGCGAGGTCCAATTCCTGTCCGAATGGCACCCGGCCTAACGGCCCTCTTTCGAAAAATTCTGTCCGGAATAGAAACCAGCCTCCAAGGGGACTTTCGGGGGGCCTTCTTTAGGTTGGCTGGACGGCAACGTGTCAGAGCGAGGCACAAAACTTCTGGAGAGACTTTCCGCTTCGCCCATCCCATCAAATACCGCCTCAAACTGACCTAATGTAGTACCACAAGCAACGTATAATTTACACTCCTCAGGTCAGATTCAAGTCAAGTGGGCTGCGGAACTGCCACCACTGGCAGCTGTTACAAACATTGGGTAACAACAAAAGAAATTAAGCTATCAAAAGCCAATGGATGGCCTTCGATATTCTCCTCCCTCGGGTTCGTCCGATCGATGGTGCCTCTGAGAAGTATCCGGCGTCTAGCTGCATGTATAAAAGGCTCAGACGCTATCCATGGATTCTCTGGGCGCTTGTCTCGCTTTCCAGGCTCCCACATCGATTCCAACGGCACATCGAGGCTGAATCGCGAGACAGTCCATCCTATCATACCTACATTTAAACAATGTCGCTCTCTGAGCCGTCGCTTCCACTCTTTGACCAGCAACAATCAATCTACCTGGAAGATCTCGAGACCACCCTCCTAATAGCCCAGCTCGCTCGTCAGGATCTCGACGAAGTCACTCAATCTCGCAAGGGCAAAGGTCGAGCTGACGCCCCACGCTCCGATGAGGAGTTAGCGTTTCAATACCAGAGGGGGCAACTGAGTGACTGGCTCGCATTTCTGGAGGATGCTAAGCTGGCAAAGAGTATCGGCAGCGCTATTGAAACTGACCAAAACATTTTACAAGCCTTTTCTATCGTGGAACAGGCAGCGGCGGATGACCATCGTGCAGCCGACCTGCTGTCAAGTGGACGTACCTTACCCAAGCCTACCGCCGCACAAAAGCAGCTCGAAGATTCCAACTTCTTTGTCGACCCTCTCTCTTCTCAGTACTCTCTATCATTACCTTTGCTGGACTTTTTGCTGACGCCAATCCTTCCAGAGATGCGATGGCAACAAGCCCAACTCCAGGCAAAGGAAAAGCCGCGGCTGAGAGGCGAACCGCTACCACAGCAGCCACCTCCAAATATGCTTCCAAGGCATTGTCTGCGGGGCCCAGTGTTGACGGATACAAACGGTAATTTATTCTCTCGCCCATTGGCTTCGAACCTCATATGTTTTCTGGCCTCTAGAATTTCCTGTACGATTTGTGGGGAACAGGTCAGAGTGCGGGACAGCTTACACACACCCTGCGACCACTTCTACTGCAGAGGTTGTGTCGTAGATCTCGTTGAAACTTTCACTCGCGACGAATCCCTGTACCCCTTACGATGTTGCCAACAACCCATCCCACCCGAGAACATCATGACCTTTGTATCCTCCCGGCTACAAATTCTTTTCACCGCCAAATCCAGGGAGTTTGGCACCCCTTCACAAAGACGAATTTACTGTGCCGTACCAACCTGCTCTGCCTTCCTTGGGTCCTCCGAGGGCGTCCCAGCAGCATCGACATTTCCTTGTCCAAAATGTCGCGGTCTCACTTGTGTTTATTGTAAACAACCTGGCCACCCAAACGAGGCATGTAAAGAGGACCCGGCCGCACAGTTAACTCAAGAGTTGCGGGCGTTGGCCTCAAGTGAGCATTGGCAAACTTGCCCCGGATGCAATGCTATCGTAGAGCTGGAACAAGGGTGTTACCATATGACCTGCCGATGCCGCACTGAGTTCTGCTATCTCTGCGCCGTTCGGTGGAAAGAGTGTCCCTGTGTACAATGGGACGAGGGGCGTCTATTGGCCGCGGCTAGGCGTCAAGCCCGAAACGAGCTCGGCGCTAGGTTTCCAGCGGTCCAGCCTGCGGTATTTGAACGGAGGGTCGAGGAAAGAAGGCGGGAACTTCGAGACAACCATGACTGTGTCAGGCATAACTGGCAGTTCCGACAGGGTGGAGGTCGTTGTGAAGGGTGTTCCTTCACACTTCGTGACTATCTGCTGATATGGTACCCGCTTTTCGGCTTTATATTGCGGCTAACCATTCCACCTACTTTCAGATTTGCACAAATTGTTCTCTTCTTGTATGTGTTCGGTGTTCACGCAACCGCTTCTAGAACTGGCGTACGCCGCCGTTAATTTTTTGGCACCATTCTTTCGGCATCATGCGCAGCGTTGTCAACTTATCTGCACGCTTTTTTTGGTATAGCAAGTCACCACCTGGGGGAAAGTTGGAAGGGGCGGTGATGGTATTGTAAATACGTATGTAGAGCGTTGATTTGCAGGGTGTTGAACACCGACAGCTGGTATTTTTTAAACGAGTATAGTAAGATGATCTGTTCATGCCTCTTTTTAAACAAGGAGAAAGCTCCCACTGGGTGCGTTTCTTGAAGGAAGAGTTGCCTCTGGGCATCTCTGAACGAGCTGTGCAGAAGACCAGCAGTACGAAGCTGTTTTTCTGGACACGATGATGCATAAGCGAGCCTGAGGCTGCCTCTGAGATATCTGGCATTCATGTTCCTATATTTCGCCGTTCATAGTACGTACATGAGCGTTTCCATGAAGAAAATTTCGGGGTCGCGAACCTTTTTGGGACTATGCAAATCCGTGTCGCTGGTTTATCCTGAGTGCTTTGAATTTCTCTATCGAGCTCGAGAAGTGCATATGTACCTTGATCTCTGTTAGTATATCAGTAAGTCCGAATGCGATGAACAAAACCGATCTTGACAAAATCACGTACATACGATTGCGACTCGACGGTTGGATTCGAAATTTTATTTCTTCATCCATTTGCTCTACGCTCCATACCTATGCCATAAATCGATGTGGTTACGGTCAGATTTGAGGTACTTAAGTAAAAGCTGTTTTGTTGCGAGGGATATGGAGGACAAATAAATGTTCTTCTGTCTAGGATGAGATAGATGTATATATTCTACATTCTAAGGCAACAACGCCTCGATCTAATTTGCTGAGTCTGATTACACTACTTGTGCATTATTCAAAAACTTGGATAGGCGTGTGTGGTCCATTCCCGGATGTATAAAAGCGTATCATACTGTCTATCGCTGTTGGAATCGGTTTTCTGGTTTGCTAGCATCCAGATCAACGTGTAGGTCTGTAAGACCATCGGAATACGATGGTTGTTGCCTTTTCATATATTGTCGAATATGAAGCAGGACCCTACTCGTCAAAAGTGTATGGAGTACGCGTTCCACACTTGACTTGATCAGTTAGTATTTTGCACGTAGAGGCAGCCTGAGAACGTAAACGTACGAGAAAATAACCGCAACATACTCTGGCTGCAGAAATTTAGTGGTTAGTTTGATTCTCCCACAAAGAAACAATGTATAGGCTTACAGAGAGCGCGCACACGACTACGACGTTGACTATTGAAAGGGCTATTGCTCCTTTAGCATACAATGAATGCGTCGTGCCAATCCAAGCACACGATGCGATTTCCGCTGGTGGGAAAGCAACCGAGAAACTCTGGATATGGCTTTGCACTAACTTAACATGAGGTGTCGGTTGCGGTGAGATGACAGTTAAAATATGACAGATTGTGGACACACATTGCAGGCCGCGAAGGAAGAAATTCGTCACATATATCTCCGCCCCAGTCATGAGCGTAAACAGGGATAACAGAAAGACACCCAGACGTAGATCTCGTTCCCATACTGCCCATGCGCGCAGGGTCAAAATTACTAGGAACAGCCACCATTAGGCACGTCGGATAGTATAAAATGAGGAGAATTCGCACCTTCAGACAAAATAAAGCCAAAAATCATCAACCCTATGATACGATGAGCCAAACAACCACGTTTTGAAGAGAGTGCGTACAGCTGGCAGGTCTGTCCGACCGTTCCAAGCCGTTCCATAAGTACACTGGCAATCGACATTTATGTCGCACCTCGTGTCCATCCAGGAATAATTGATTCGAGTGCAGGGTCAGCACTGTCTCCTTAGAAAATGACCGGAAAGAAGGAGTTCTTGTACAAATTAAAGGTGGGAAGACGGAGCCTGAGGTAGAATCTCAATTGCGGGTTGTCGCGGTCTCGGCAATTCTGTAGTTGTGCGTATGTAAGTGCCGGACGCTTGCTGGGCGTAAACAGTGAGTTTCCTCGCCTTGTGCTTCGCCCCCTCCTGAGACAGTTGCTCGATGTATTTAATGTATGTCCGCGACGCAAATGGCGAGGAGTGGCCGCGATGTGTGCGAATACCTTTTTGTGTGTCGCACGAACAGGGCTCCCACCGGCAGATTCCTGACAGAAACACCCTCTGATAATGGACACGGCCCACGGGAGACATAATCATTGTCCAATATTACTTACCTCGAACTGCATCGAAGTGGTGTCATTCCCGAATCGAATCGAAGTTACCTCGAAGTCACTTCGCTTCGACGGCAACACTATTCGTACGCTTCATGAAATCCCCTTGGGTAAAACTCGTTTGATGGCTGATCCATGTTTTCAAAAGGCCTTTCACGAGAAACATTGCCCAATATTACCAATTAGAATATCTTGAGAAAGTCCGACACTTTTCCTTTTCAGGAGCATTCTGATTATATTTAAAAATGTTCATCTTGGGAAAGGCATAGGATTTTTAAAAATCCGGGCCACTGAGAACTTTGCTTTGCCTTTTCTCAGCTGGTAAAGGGTGAACAAAAGCTTAAATATCCAAAGCCTTTTCAAGTTTGTGATATGGTAGTAAAAGTAAGACCTTTGAGAAAAATTAAGAGGAAAGCCGAAGCAAAGGAATCCTTTGTTTTCAGGCGCGATGCGGAATTGATACAAGGGGCGGGAAAGAATGAGAACGGACTCTTTGTTCGGACGATGCCGCACAAAAGGCAAGGTGTGGGGGATCCGTTCAACTATTCCTTGGATTTTACGAGCGGGGATATTCAAAAATTTCGACTGACTTTCTTTGTTGTGGAAAGGGAAAATTTTGATTACAAGAAAGACTATTACCCTGCGTAATTATTATCCTGTCCTCACAATGTTCCAGCCCAGAAAAAGTATCGGACTTGCTCTGGCTATCCCGCTCTGGGATATTGCGCTATGTTTCTCGTGTTTGCTTTCCATGGGATCTGAGAGGAAGTTGTCGTACTAGTACTATACAATTCGCATGCGGTTATTGTGGGAGCCGGTTGCGGAAAAAAAGCCTGACGTGACATTGGAGTGACAATGAACTTGTTGACCAACACGACTCCGACAAGTCTGCCGTTCCAGCCCAAAGTGCGAGTAAGTGCTCACTGTTGTGATTGGGTTGGTCTACGTTTAATTCCCTCATCCTCCCAGAGTAGCCTTACAATAGTGTTGGAAAAACCAAGCCTAAATACGATGTGTAAGTGTTACATAAAACTTCATGAAGGGAAACGTTGACTTGAATTACTCTTTTCAAGCAACCAATAATAGATGGGCTCCGATATAATCTCGATCGATTGTTCAGGCAAAAGGCGACCGTGGGTACCTATCCAATCAATCTTCACAGTACTCGGCGCTAGATTCATTGGGCAGTTGTCTCGCTTTCCAGTCTCCCACACCGCTCGTACAAACGTCCTGGAGCTGATACGCGAGACAACACACCCTGAACGAACTTGGAGCTACGATGTCGTCGGGTTCTTCTCTTTCACTCTTTGATCAAGAACAATCCGTCTACGAAGCCGACCTCGAAACCACGCTCTTAATAGCCCAGCTTGCACAGCAAGACCTCGAAGAACTCACCTCTGCGTGTAAAGGTAAAGGCCGGGCTGACAAGCCGCGCTCGGACCATGAGATAGCCCTTGAAATTCAGAATGAACAACTGAATGAGTGGCGCACGTTTCTGGAGGACGCTAAACTGGCAAGAAGCATCGGCGCTGCTCTTCAGACGGATCAGAATACTTTGAATGCTTTTTCCATTGTGGAGCAAGCAGCTGCGGAAGACCATCGGGTCGCGGAGATTCTGTCGCAGGGCGGTGATTTGCCTGAGCCCACCCCGACGCAGAAATTGCTTGAGGATCCAGCGCTTTTTGTTGAACCTCCACCTCCCCAGTATGTATAATCTTGTTGTTAGTCTTACGCTTATTTTAGTGTTTCCAGCACTGTAGGAGCGTCGCCAAACCAAGTCGACAGGCAAGATAGCACACATAAAGGGATAGGTGAAGCGGTGATCAACCCGTCAACGAACATCTCCCGAACCTCAACTGCTGGCCCCAGTATTGATCGGCACAAAAGGTCGAGGATTTTTTTCATACTCTACTTCATCTTCACGCTCATGCTTCTTCTCAGGGTTGCCTGCACGGTCTGTAACGACTACATCCGCCTTCAAGAGTGCTTGCACACATCCTGCGATCACTACTACTGCAGAGATTGTGTTATTTCCTTGGTCGAAGCTTTTACACGGGACGAATCCCTTTTTCCGCTCCGATGCTGTCAACAACCCATTCCACCCGAACAAGCCTCCACCTTCCTCAATGCTCGTCTCCGTTCTCTCTTCGAAGCCAAGCTACGTGAGTTCGGCACGCCCGCGCAAACTCGCGTTTACTGCGTCCTCCCAACCTGCTCCGCCTTCCTCGGATCATCAGAGGCCGTTGCAGCATTCACCGCCATCCGTTGCCCGCAATGCCAAAGCCTGACGTGCTCTTCATGCAGGCAAGCCGGGCATGACGCAGGAGACTGTAGCGAGAACGCCGCAGTCAAAGAGCTCAAGGCACTCGCACTAGCCGAGCACTGGCAGACTTGCCCAGGGTGCCATGCGATCGTTGAACTGCAGCACGGGTGCTACCACATGACGTGCAGGTGCCACACGCAGTTCTGTTACCTCTGCGCTGCGCCGTGGAAGAACTGCGGATGCGATCAGTGGGATGATCAGAGGTTGGTGGTCGCGGCTGAGCGGAGGGTGGAGAATGAGGTGGGGGCGGCTGTCAGGGTAGAGCAACCGCTCGTGTTCCAGGAGCTGGTGCAGGAGAGGGCTCGGACGTTGCAGGTGAATCATGATTGTGTCATGCATTCTTGGAAGAGCCGTCATGGAGGAACATGTGAGGAATGTCAACAGTATCTTCCCCTCTTTTTGAAGGTATGTTGCGTCCTCGCTTGACGCTGGATAGTTACTGATTTTGCCCCCGATATTCTAGATCTGTAGGAACTGTTCTCTTTCTGTATGCAGACGTTGCGCCTTAAATCGTCTCTAAAGCATAACGCTTGTCAGGGAAAGCAGGTGCTAGCTATAGATTATCACAAAGTCCAGACTGTATATAAAAAACAAGGAGCACGCGTACTAATTAGTGGGCATAAACGAGAGGGGTTGCGGGTATGAAAGTCCAGAAGCTCCATTCCCAATTGAACCGTCTGAATTCGACGCAGTCGGTTGTCCATCAAGTCGAAGCGTTGACGTTCCCGAATGACGTTCTTGCATAAGAGATCATCAACATGATGTTTCGGGGAGAATAACCTACCTAATTACAAACAAGTGCGTGTAGATAAAAATGACAGCGATGAAATAGATACATCATAATCGAAAGCATTGGTTCAGAAACCGACAAGAAAACCACCAAACTTTGCATGCAGGCGAGGGAGGAGGACTTCATGCACGAAGTACATGGGACCGCATAAGCGAGACGAGTTTAGGGGAAGGACCACGTCGTTCATGTTCTTCGCAGATCTGATAACGTTATCAGCTGGACTGGAGAGAAGGTGGTCACTTGCAAGGGCAAAGGTGGGGGCGAGACGTCGCCAAGAAAAGGTGGGCTGCGCAGAAGCGCGTGATCGGAGTTCTTTCAAGGCCTTTGGCGATGTCCGTTTTCAAGTCAACCTTGGGGCTCGAAGATCGGAGCGAGAGGGACAGCATCCCATCATCGTCGCCCCCCACATCCATGCCCATTGCCCAAGTCCACGTCAAAATTCAAATCGAAAGTCGTCCGATTTACAGGCGCTTATCAAGTCCAGGTCATCTTCGAGAGGGAAAACGAGAATACAGAAGAACTAATCGTCCGTTTCGAAGATGCAGTCTGCAGGGATGCTCAAGCGTGGAGGTGGCCTGCAAGATGAGGTTGAGGTAGGTGGTACGCGGGAGTGGAAGGATTATGTGGAGGTTCGGAAGAGTGGCGAGAGGTGGCATTTAGCTGGAACAGGAAGAGGAAGAGGCAGACGAGGAACGGACGACCGTTGGGATAGGTGGTGGTGGGTATATCGGCACCGAAGCTTCTTCTGTTTTGTCATTCGCCAGCAGGAGGTAAGGCGGGGAGAGTAGGGGAGTGGAAGATGGTGAAAGAGGGCGTGGTTTGGAGTAGTGGATTGTGTAACGGGGGACGAACACTGATTCGGGACATGAGGGGTTTTGTGTGGTGAGGAGGGGACAGGGGAAGGTGAGAATTCTCTGGTAGTCCATTCTCGCCTTCACAGGTTTCGTAGAACAGCTCTTCTCTGCGGGAATTGAACCAAGCAGGAGGGAGTGTGAACTCGTTGTTTGACGTTGATGGCATTGGCGGCGAAGTTCCGAATCGCAAAAATGGACTGAATTTTGAAGATGAGACGGACGAGATGGGAAAGGCGCAAGAACGGAGTAAAGAGGAAGTTGGGCCATCTGTAGGAAACATCTATGAATGCGAGTCAGGGGACGGCTCCGTTGGTGAACGATCGGCAACTTGGACTGCGGAGAGACGGATGTCGTTTTGAGTGAAGATGTCGTGGTCGGGTTCGAAGCAAAGGTGGGACCAACCCTTCCGATGGCATCGTCATCCCATCGCAAGTACCTATATGCGCGCAGAACCACCTAAACTGCATACATCTTCCACACATTCTTTTTCCCCTCCTCTCTTGCAGTTTCCAAACCCATGAACTCGGTCGTCCAGGTTTAATTGCGGTATGGCATGAGAGACATATTTCCCTTGAAGCTGGCCGTTGCGGTTTCATATAGGTTCGATAGACGTGAGGGAAGGTTGATGTTTAGGAGGGTTCGAAGCTCCAAGGGATGCTGATAGAGGACGTTTAATGGACCCACATCTGTCAAGAGAGGGGTGGATGAGGTAAGAAGGGAAAGGGAAGAGGGTAGGAGTACCTAAATGCTAGCGGATCGGAGGATAAGTATACACGAATCTGTGCTAGTGGTGTGGGTTCGTTAGAACTGGGAAAAGGGCAGCAAAAGAAATGGAACGAACCTTTGATGACTCTTTTCCCCTCGAAGTCCGCTGCACATCGTCCTCCGCCTCATGGGTACGTATCGTTTGAGTTGCCGTCCGAACACCGTTTGTTGCTCGTCGAAAAGTTGTCCTAGTAGTGATCGAGCCCTTCCATATTTCGACAGTTACGGCGCAGGGGCGTGTAGGTCATGGCTTCTTAGGGGGTGGGTCAGAGACGGAGGACAGACCGAGATGCAAAGGGGACGTACGTGTCGTTTCTACGGCGTTGGCGTGCTGGTATTTGGCATCGTGACTATGTAGCTCAGCCAGCTCTCCTTGCCCGAGTTCTGGCAGTGGTATGTAGAGCTGACTGATGAGGTAATTGAACGGGGTTAGTACTCGTCGGTATGAACCAAACTCAAGTACTCACCCAAACAGAGCCAAGACGCAATCCTACACTAAGCACCTCCCCTCCGTCTTCTCTTCAGTCAATCCCGAGTCGAATGTCTGGGTTTCTGGACAGGCGCCTCGCACTAGGTGTTCCTCGGCTCCAGATGGTGTTGAAATTTCTCCCCCTCCCATTTTCGGCTGTTTTTTGTGAGTTTGGAAGCAAGATCTGTCTGGGGTGGCGTTGGTGTTGGTTTGGGCGACGAGTGCTTGAATATGATTGGCGCGGATCTCAAGCAAGTACGCCGCTGTACGCAGTCACAGTAAGAAATAGTCTAAAAGAGGTCGCGAAGCCACAGCTGGCAAGTCACTTGGTAAGACCAAAGTAACATGCACGCAGCACGGCGAGGACAACCACTTGATAACACAAGCGAGCAGTGGATAGCGTTGAGGGCAAGCTGTGTGAACGGCAGCGTGACTGGCGATTGGAACGTCACACATATGTTACTGTAACATTCCCTTTTCGTCCAACGCCGACGCGACTTAAATCAGGGGCGCGTCCTTGTCGGAATTAAACGCCATTTAGCATTCCATGTGTGGGAAGTGAGGTCGCTATGCGAAGCTGTGGAACTTGGCGCCTAAAATCATTCCTAAACCCTCACAACATGAACTTCAATGAGCAGGCGCAAACTGGGAACTTCTTGGATCAAATGGAAGGAGACTTACCAGGACAAGCGAATGTGAACGATGGGTATGTATGTCATCACCAACGTGCGGAGCCATCATCGCTAACCCGGACAATTTGAACGTCAGGCCATCAATTTTTCTAGGGGCTTCAAGGCCCGTTATCTCTGGTGGGGAGTTCAATAGTGTTGGAGGCGACTATACTAGTAATCGCATCACTAACAACATTTGTAAGACTTTTATCTTCGGATTTACGTTTCTTATTCAAGAACTGGTCCTTAGATCAAGTTGTGCGACGGCGTAGGGACAATCGGCCGGTGAGTAGTAAAGAACAACACTTGTTCAGCTAAAGGCTTAGACATTTATTCAGCCATCTACTCTCCATCGAGGCCAGCGGAATCCCAGGAGAGGTACGACTATCAACATCTGTAAGACATAATTACATTTCTTATTCACGAACCGGTACTTCGATCCAGGTGTGCAATGGCATAGAGACAATCGACACGAATTCATTCAGTCACCTACTAGCCATCGAGGCCAGCGGAATCCCAGGAGAGGTACAACACCAAGTACGAATGCATACTTCATCACAACATTGTCATCTAACTTCACCGGTCAGATCATATCGTTTCTCGAGACGTGAGTCGAAAAATATGTGACGCTGTCGCTATGTTTACGCCCCCTCAGTTATCGGATGAGGAAGGCGACGAGTGTATAGAGGAGAGCAGTAGTGCAATTTATGAGCGCCAAATGAAGAAACACATTTTTTTTTTTGGTTTTTTTAAATTATATACGCGGCGATGCCGGCAAGTGCGGCAGCGTACAGTCCGCGCTAGTCCGCATTAGGAAAGTATCCTTTTAGCGGGCCGCATCCTTGTCTATGACGACATACAGAGTTACTCGTTCCCATTCTATTTCCTGTCATTTTTCGTCTCCAGGCCAGTATAACAATCATAGATAGTGATAAAACAAAGTCATTAGCATAGGAATAGCCTAGAATCACGTGTAAATATATGACCATCACCACCACTCATGGTCAGCGAACTATTATCTATAATCACTACGTGTTGACGCGACTTGGACGTCCGTTGCGACCTTATGATACTCAGAAACTCACGATGCTGTACCCATGCCAAAACGATAGACCTGCGCGTCCCGATATATGCCCTTCAACAAGTCGGCAGTCAAGAATTTCTTGCCCATTCTTCCCAATCCCTCTCCACCAATAGCTCTGTACTATTGCCTCCAATCTGTACTCCCCAGGTAAGCAAGGCGATCCCGATTTGAAATATTCACATGCGCACCACCATCTTCTTCTCGTTATGTAACCAAATAATGGAACTCGCCATCTTCTTCGACAATAACCGAATGTGAACGAACCGTCGACAGCGTCCAGCACCTTCTTTTCGCCACAACATTCTTTAAATCGTCGTTTTGCCCATTTATTTATTGGCGAAGACGACCCTCATAATCATACCCAAACACATCCCATGGTGTTTCTCCGAAGTAATCTCTCAAGGCGGGATGCCGTCCTTGTCCTGTTCGGAGCATGTTTCATGCACATCTCGTCCTTCCTCTTCCCAAGTCAACAAGTGACAGGCCAGTCAATAGCCACGGTGGTCATCAACAAGCCAGCTTTGGCGGCGTCGGTTGCTCCTCATGCAAATGCACATACGGAGACGCAAACGCCTACTGGAATCGCATCAGAACAAATCGCCGCAGCCTATCCTTCTTCACCAACGCATATACCCCAATCCGATGCCCTCCTGCCAACCACCGTACTCGCACATGCACCAGGATGGACGCTATTCCAGAATCTCTACATGTCGAACGGGACATTATTCCTCATCATACACAACTCGTCATACACCCCTTCGACAAGCGACACATACGGCACCACGAAGGTCGACGGCTTGTTCCCCGAGATCAGGATGATGACCAGCACGGGGCTCATGGCGCTCAACACTCCAGATAACATTGCGCAGAGGGAACCTACAGAATGGGAGATGCGCTTTTTAAGCGTACTTGAGGCGGCGGGGATGTGGGGTAAAGAGGGCGAGGAAAAGAGAGTTTGGACGGTTGACGGGAATACGGTGAGTTCCTTGTTGGCGTCAAATTAGCCTTTTTGACAATGCCTTTCCTTTTGATCCATCAGCTGCTCTTCAACGACCCACCCCAATTCCTGCGACACTACTACCACTTCGTTGCCGAACTCTTCCTCGGCGTTCAAGCATTCTGGCACGGCTTCTTCTCCCCACCCACATCCCATCACCCCAAGTCTTCTTCAATCCACCCCACACCTCCGCCAATACATCGCGCCATATTCATACACTCGGACGCGGATGGATAGCGAGACGACCCTGGGTTTAATTCATATTTCCTTCAAGCGGCCTTTCCGTCTCTTACAGTAGAACACCAGGAAGACTGGGATGATCGAGTGACCAGTGCTAGCATTGAGTCGCCTTTCACCAGCAAGGCGAGGGCATGGCACTTCCCCTTGGCACTTTTGGCAGACCGAAGCGCAGCGCATCGTGGTGTGATGTGTGGGAGTCGGACGCAGAGGACTGCGGCGGAGGCTTGGGACTATATGCGTGTCCGCGGGACGTTGAGAGGGATTCAGGTTGGTGGGTGGTGGAATCCTGTGAGGGAGGCGATCTGGCGATTTGCGGGTGTGAAGCTTGGGAATTTGTCTGTTGTGTTGCCTTTGAATGAGGGGAACGGCATGGAAGTGGTGAAGGGGTCGCAGATGGGAGATCATGCTCGTTTCGTCGGAGCGGAGGCGGAGAATGAGAAGATGTTGCCCATGCCGGAAAAGGTCGTCATCACTTATATTTCGTGACAGAGTGCACATAAGAGGAGGTTATTGAAGGAGGATCATGAGGCGCTCGTCAAAGAGCTGAAGGCGTTAGTTGCGCGAAAGAATGCGGAGAGGGAGGCTGGTGGTGGAGAGAAGGAGTTGGTCAAGGGTGGGGGAGTCGATCGCAAGTGGGCTCCGTTGGCATCGGCGAGCACGTCTTCCCAACAGCAGCCAGAGTGGAAACTCCAAGTCCTCGAAGCGGAACATATGACCAAGGACGAACAAGTCCGCGCTGCTTCTCGGACGACTGTAACAGCCTTTTTTTTCCGTTTTCAAGTCCTCAGGCCTCAATAACAATGTCCTAAACAGATCCTCCTAGGCGTACACGGCAACGGCCTAACCCACCTCGTCTTCATGCCGCCCACCCGCATCTCCGCCGTGATTGAGATATTCTGCCCTCCCGGGTTCGCACATGACTATCAGTGGACGACGCGGGCATTGGGGATGACGTATTTTGGGGTGTGGAATGATACATATTTTACGCGGGAGCCAGAGGTGAGGCATCCGGAGTGTTTTCAGGGGGATGGGATTTTGGTTCAGGCGGGGGTTGTGGTAAAGATTGTTGAGGGAAGGGTTCCGGGGGAGGTTTGATTGAGAGTGAGCCGTCTGGCATCCACCAACATCGAAACCTCTTTCTTCTTTTTCATTCCTTCTTCGTTTGTTTGAATTTCTGGTTGTTGGAGTAGAGGTCCGGTCGTCTGCCCTTTGTATATCATGTTCTTTGGATGGCGTCACTATCACTTTTGACGATCATGGAAAAAGTCGCGCCAAATTTGCGCAATGTGTGCACCCTTGTTTGGCAGGACACGTCGAAGAAAACAGTGTTCCATTATTTCCATTGAAAAGCCTCCGACTCTTCACGACTCCTTCTCAACTATCGGCATCGGTAGGCTGTAAAAGCCTTCTGAAGAAATTCAGTTTTTTTTTGTTATGGCAACAATTTTCTCTCGCCCGGTCTCACCCACTTTGAAACCGATATATTTTTGCTTGTCTCTCCTTTCACTAGAAACATGGCTCACATTTCAGACGAAACGTTCTCGTTTAACGAACAATGCTCTTTGAAATTACTTTGAAGAAAGTCGTGGGCAAGCTCTGGGGACGTCACCTTCATGCGAAGAAACGGTTCGTTCCCGGTTCATGTGTTGTTCGGGACAATTGACCAACACCAGGATCCGGAATTTGCATAGAACGGTCGAATGCATTAGTTGCTTTGACGAAGTGACCCTCAACAAGGTCCTCCGTGCTCCATGCAAGCACAATTACTGCTCCTCCTGCCTTGCGGTCCTCGTCAACCAATCCATCAAAGACGAGTCGTGTTTCCCTGTGCGATGCTGCAAGAAAAGAGTCCCCACCACGCGAATACTCAAACACCTCGAAGATCAAGACATCAAGCGCAATCTATCAGCCAAGATGCGCGAGTACGCAACACTGCAAAGTCAGCGACTCTATTGTCCCACGAAGAGCTGCACCACGTTCCTCGGAGCCGCCTCGTCCTTTAGATTTCAATCTGTCCGGTGTCCCGCGTGTCACAAGGCGACGTGCAAATGGTGCCGGCGTCCAATGCACAAAGGGAGCCCTTGCGCCGAGGATGAAGCTACCCAAGAGCTTAGGCGGACTGCGAAATTGGAAGGGTGGCAGACGTGTCCGGGGTGCAAGGCAGTGGTGCAGAGGTTGTCGGGGTGTAACAGCATTGTGTGTCGATGTGGCGTCGATTTTTGCTATTTGTGTGGGATGAAGATGTCGAATTGTCGGCATGGACAGTGTTTGCGTGTCAATGCAAGATAGTAGGGAGTGTTTTTTTTTTTTTTTTTGATAAATGTCTGAGCACGGTACTTACATTCCATTTCCTGCCTCGACTCACAACGAACTATAGTTCTACTTATAGCGGTAGATTTGCCAACCCCCCCATTGGCTTGCGTCTCCGAGCCTTCAGAAAAAAATATATTAACAGTTGGACCCTAACGCTATTTATCACAGCGAACATCGCACCTCTCGACGCATCATGTCTCGACACTTCCCTCCTCGTCTAGCTGAGTTGGCGAATGGATGCTAGTGGTAAGTGCATGGTTTCACGGCATCAATTGAGGAGATCTTGTGTGCCCCAAGTCGAGGTCTTCTGCATTCATGTGATCCCTCCGTAGCTTGTCGGCACAATCAAGAAGGCAAATGTATGTCATCAGAAATGTTGGCGCTCGCAAGCGTGCGGGATTTGTCGCCCACGCAGCATCTGGAGAAGACTGATCGAATGATAAGGGTAGCATAGAGACGAGGAAATGACGAAGCGGGTGAGGTTGCAAACGTGTTCGAATTGTAAGGCGGTGATTTGAAGGGTGTGAGTGTAATGATATGCCAGCGGTCACTGTGTGCAAGGTGAAATTTGGTTAATTATGTGCGTGGTCCGTTGATGACGAATTTTGTGTGAAGCTGCGCACCGCGCTCATCTATGATTATCAACGGATGCACATAGCAGGTATACAGCCGGTCCAATAGAGAATTGTGGAGTAAAAGAAGGCCTTGAGAATTGGGGGGAATGGAAGCGGAAAGCAAAAACTTTTGAAGGAATACATACCAAAATGGCAACAAACAGATGTAAATTTGGCGACTTCATCTCAGTCTGTTGCGATGAAAGGGCAGAAAAATGTACGCGAACCACCCGGATACCGCAACGAGAACTAAAAGGTCCTGACAGAACATTGTGAACTGGCCAACCTGAAGGAGCGGTGACTCGGAGCGTAAACTGGCCCTAGGCGAACTTGACAAACTTCAATTCAAGTTCGACTCGGACAAAGTAAATCGGCAGCGTCATCTCCGTGCGCCTCCTATCGACAGCGTCAATCTGGTACCATAGTTAGGTCGGAAGGCGCAAAGAGGTGGTGCGATGGGTGACAAAACAACAGCACCTTGAGGACTCTGCACCTCAATTTGCTCTCGCCAGAAGGCTCAAAGCGATTCCATCATCGTACAGTAACCAAGTTGTCAAGACCTTGAATGGAATATATGGCTATAATTATAACCGCGGGAGCCGACTGGAAGATGTCCACATCGTACGGATCCTTACCAATCTCGAACAAAATTGGTGCAACGACGGATGCCCGTGGCGAGGAGAGACGGGACAAAGGAGACCAAGCATGTGAGGTCATGAGAGAACTTGAATGTGTATGCTATAAAATGAGCCGTATCGATTTTGTGAGTTCCCCCAACAACAAATCCGCCACTACTTACTCAGTTATCAAGTTCAAACCTGTTCGTCATGTGATTCTCCATCACCACCGCCACCCTTGCACTTTTGTTCTACGCAGGGGCCGCGATGGCGCAGGATGTGGGCGAGTCGTGCCCCGCTGATCAGGCTGGTATGTGCAACATCGTCTGTGGTCCAATTCTCTGTTTCTCAATTTGGCGGCGTTCACAGGCGATGTCGGCTGCGCGAACACAGCCAGCGTTAATGGCGGCAATGCATACATCTTTATTTGCAATGGGGAAGAATTCGTCTTGTTCGCTGATTGCGCTAGTCCATTTGGATGCAAGACCGAGGGCCCGAAGAACGCGGTCTGTATTTGAACAACAGGTTGGTCTTTATTTGCTTTGCAGACATTGGATATGGTAACAACGAATGTGTGTAGTATGGTGAAATTGTAGGTACTAGGACTTGGAATATTTGTACATGTACTACATCAGGAAATTCCACAATCCACGGACCACGATGTGATAGTTTTCCATTCGTAGATCGAGCCACTGGTTAAGTATGCTAGTAACATGCGACAAATAATGCCTTACATCTTTTGTGTTGCCGTAGCTGTGTAGCCGTCTCGTTCATGCGCCACGCGAATTTATCTCAAGTTCCTGTCAGATTTTCTTATTTGTTTTTTGCCTTGTCAGGTTGGACTCTCACCCATTCGTCCTCGCCCCTTCCTGCTTATAAAATTTATATAACACTCTCCGACGAGGCAACTTGGGAGGAGCGCGCGGTCGCGCTACGCGATATTGACTGCATTCCACGTCTTGTGCCCTGACCCCAAGGAATATGTTGAGTCACATTTCGGTGCATAGTATGTAGAGGAGTAATTACTAGGACTCAGGCTTTTCTTGAGTAATAGGCAACACATTGTTACTCTTTTACCTCACAGGCACCATTTTCCTTTCTTTCCAAGATCAGCTTCAAAACCTAACCCAGGCTAATTTCAAGAGACTGGAATATACATCGAAAGAAGAAGAACACGCATTGCAAGGAAGTCTCAGGATAAAGTCACACAATCTACGGGCTACATTGACAAGCGAATTAATCAGTAGTCAAGGTAGGAACTCACCTGAGTAAACAACTGCAGAAAAATGACATGTAAGAACGTCCCACCCTCAAACCAAAGGATGACAGGAGGAACATACAAGCTTTCTTTCCAAAACTATTTATTCCGACATAGCAAGAGACATCTATCGCAGAAAGATCAGTAAAAGCAAAAATCTCAAAGACCGACAGAAATACCACGGGTAGTGCCGTATGGCTTATTACTGACAACTCCGTCTGTTTGAAGGATCTCTCCAGCCGCCACTGAATGCCACGCGGCATCATGACTCGCGCCGGCTAAACAACATCAGAGGCAACACGGTATTCCTTACAATTCTCACTCACCCCAATTTCTACTGGCTGTAAGACGTTTCGAAAAGGAAGGATGAGTCCCCGGTGCCGTCGTTTTATCAGAACCGTTCCGTGCATATGTGAACACTATCGGCTGTCCCTCCTTTGAGCCTGGACAATTGTCAGTGAGAAGGGAAATGACATCGCCATCGTTCAAGGTAACCTCTCCATCCTCGTTTTCAAGCAACTGAACATCGTGACCCAAGACCCCTTCTACATGAATGAGACGATCTTTCAAGGAAGCGACTGTGTGAGGTGGCGGAATGGTAAATATGTCAATGCGACCCAAAGAAGAGTCGCTCTCGTCAAACGACGTTTTCGAGACAACTTCGCCATCATCGTCGTAAAGTCGGTAATACACTGGTGAGCGTCAGAGTTTAAAAAACATTTTTTAGAACAAAACCACAAAGGCGCACCATAACGTTGTTCAATCTTCTGTGCAGGCAATTCATTCGAGCCCGCATTACTCGCAGACTTTGGTCTCTTCTCAGCGGCGCCCTTATCAACAACGAAAACTACAGGGTCAACCTCAGATGATCCTGACCCGGAGTTTCCTCTGGGTGTAATACGAGCAGAATCGTCCACAGGCTTCGTTCCTGACAGCGACAGATACAAAGCGCTCTTTTCTGGGCCTTCCACGCCCTCAATCTTGCAGACGTCATCAGCAAGATAGCACATTGTTTGGCGGCGCTTGTGAGGTTTGGCGCGTTTGAGCTGCTTGCCAAACACGAAAAAATCTGCCAACCCTCCCAAGTTCAATCCCAACCCAGGCCAAATTTTGACGACTACCCCGATTCAGCCAAAACCTCAAATCAAGGTAAATTTCTACAAGCTAAAGGAGTTATTACAATGGTAGTGTTAGAAGCAAATCTCGTGAGAATGATGATCTGCATATTTGTTAACGTAGTAAGATTCAAATGCATCAAGTGAATAAGAAAAGTGAAAGTCGAAGGGGAGAACATCCCGCCCGAAAACAGGTAAAAGATGTGCACTACGGAGGAAAGTGTCCAGGTGGAGAATGGAGACGACACGCTGACCATTTCGGTATGTCTCAGGTCGTACCTTCCACATCCCTGTTTCCGGATCGGGTGACGCGCCCACACGTTTGAACCAATCAACGAGCGCACACGGATACGTCTTCCCATCATACTCGAATGAAAAGAGAAGTTTCACGCGGACCACGCTCATCCCCTTCATGCCCGGCTTGTCTTGGTCCTCAACAACTAATGCACAATCGCGCCGTGGGCCGTGCTTGCGCCAAGATGGAGTGGACCGTATACGCTCGGTTCGCATGCCCCGGATGCCTGACTCGTCGCTTGGTGCATAGAAGGTGGCAACGGCAGAGTGGAAGACAGAGACCCTGCCTGTTGGATATGGGCATTGCTGAATGGGTATGTCGGCTGATGAGGTGCCGTCATCTGTGTGGAGTTGGTCATAGAGGAAACGTCGGGTAAGTTCAACAAGTGGAGGGCAGCCGATGTGGTTGGCCAACTCAGCGAGGCGGCGTGGATAAGCTCGTACTAGAAAGTATGGATTAGTGACAGCAAAGTAGTAGAGATTGAAAAAAAACTTACTTCGGGTTCTTGCCAGTGCAACATTCCCAGTCACG